CCTCCTCCTCCTCCTCCTCCTCCTCCTCCCAGCAAGGACGTGCCCTGAGGGTGGCCCAGGGGCAGAGTTTCTGGAGGGCATCGTAAACAATTCCTGGAAAACCCTCCTGCGGCGGGCGCTGCTGGCACAGCTCTTGGTCCCCTGCTGGGGAAGCAGGTGCCAAGGGAGCATCACTTTTCATCGGGGTGGCTGTCCCCTGCCCTCCTCCTCCTCCTTCTTCTCCTCCTCCTCCTCGATGCCCATAACAGCTCCCACCGTGGGCATCAGCCTCTTGGCATGTTTTTTTTTTCCTCCTCCCAAAATCATAGAATCGTAGAATGGTTTGGGTTGGAAGGGATCTCAAAGATCATAGAGTTGCAACCACCCTGCCATGGGCAGGGACATCTCCCACTAGAGCAGGTTGCTCCCAGGCAGCACCAAAATGGAGGAGGACTTTGCCACCAACATCCTCGCGGGACTCCAAAAACACCTGTGGGACTCCGAAAACACCCGTCTGGAGGAGGGTGGCAGAGGTGAGGCTGGTGGGTGCTGTCAGGGTTGGGTGCTGCTGGGGCAGAGGACCACCCACATCCTCAGTGCCCATGCCCATCTCCAGCGGGTTACCCTCTTGTTTAGGACATCGTGCCCATCTCCAGCGGGTTACCCTCTTGTTTTAGGACAGGAGGAAATGGTAGAATCATGGAATGGTTTGGGTTGGAAGGGACCTTCAAGATCATCCCGTTCCAAACCTCTGCCATGGGCAGGGACACCTCCCACCACACCAGGTTGCTCCAAGCCCCCTCCAACCTGGCCTTGAACCCCTCCAGGGATGGGGCATCCACAGCTTCTCTGGGCAACCTGTTCCAGTGTCTCACCACCCTCAGAGTAAAGAATTTTCTTCCTGAGAAGAACATTTCCAACCTGGCATCGTGCTGCAGGTGCCAGCGGAGCATCACCCAAGATGGTACCACCAGCTGGCAGGGTGAATCATGGTGGACATCAACCCTCGCCATGGAGTGATGTCCTAGGAGGGTTTCCCAAGCTGGCAACGCTCCAGACTGGGTGCTGTGCCCCATCAACCAACTGGGGAAACTGAGGCAGCACCCGCCGGGGCACCCAACCCCCCCTTTTTGAAGGGTTCAAGGGGGCAGAGGAGCTGCCAGCTCTAAAAACGAGAAGGTGACGCCATCCCACCGCCATCCCGCGGCCACCAACCTGGTTATGTCACTCGACCTCCTGCGAGTAAACTTAGATGACCAGTTTGGCTTGGCAGGGAGGGCTGGGGACATGCCACCGCGCTCCCCCGCCGGTGTCACTGTACCCGGCCACCCCCCTAAAAATACCCCCCTGGGGGTGGGGGTGACGCGGGCAAGAGACGGTCCCCTTGGAGCCCAGCCTGTTCCTAATCCCTTGGTGGCTCCTGTCCCATCGTGGGTGGCAGCTGCTGATGAGGAAGAGGAGGGGGGTGGGTGCCCCCCCAAGGTGTGAGGGACGCGGCGGTGCCAGGGGGGTAGGGAGGTGACACCACATCCCCGTGTGTCCCCCCCCTTCCTTCCCCCTGTGGGACCCCCACATCCTGCTGCTTCCCCCGATGCTGCCTTGGGGGTCATAGAAGTAAAACATCCCTCCTCCCCCCAAAAAAAAGATCTTTTTTTGGTGCAAAAATGACCTTTTTTGTCATCCAATATGGGATATCTGGGTCCCAGGTTGTCCAATATGGGATACTCTCCAGTGTCACCGAGGTCCCAGGGGACACACGGGGGACTTTACCTGCACCCATGACCCTCCCCGGGGTGCGGGGGGACACACAGACCCCCCCATCTGCCCTGCCAGATTTTTCCTTGGTAGGAAAAAAGACATGGAAGGGGGACAACCAGCACCTGAAACCCTCCAGAGACTGGATCCAGTAAAAAAAAATGATGGAGGATTTTAATTGCTGAGGATGCGGCCAAGAGAAAAGGTTTTCTTCACATACCCCCCCAAAAAAGGTCTTTTTGTATTAATTTAGCCCAAATAATCCCTCCTTTTTTTGAATTGCCACCTATGGAGCAGGTGGTTACTCCCTGACCTTGTGGGAAGACTCCAAAAAATCCCCAAAAATCTGAAAAATGCATAAAAATGTATATATTTTTTTATTTTTTTTTCCTGCAAGGATGCCCCTGGGCTGCTCCCACCTGGGACGACCAGGGGACAACCAGCACCTGAAACCCTCCAGAGACTGGATCCAGTAAAAAAAAATGATGGAGGATTTTAATTGCTGAGGATGCGGCCAAGAGAAAAGGTTTTCTTCACATACCCCCCCAAAAAAGGTCTTTTTGTATTAATTTAGCCCAAATAATCCCTCCTTTTTTTGAATTGCCACCTATGGAGCAGGTGGTTACTCCCTGACCTTGTGGGAAGACCCCAAAAAATCCTTAAAAATCTGAAAAATAGATAAAAATATATATATTTTTTTGTTTTTCCTGCAAGGATGCTCCTGGGCTGCTCCC